ACTTTTAGTAGAGATGGGGTTTTGCCATGTTGCTCAGGCTGGTCTCGAACTCCTGGCTTCAAGCAGTCTGCCCACCTTGGCCTCTCAAAAGGCTGAGATTATAGTCATGAGCCACTGTGCCTGGCTTATTTTTTAAATTACATCTACTTTTATTAATATTGCTTCAGAAATCAGAATCCAATTGATTAGCCCATTCAACAAAGATTTACTGAAATCCTGCTTAGTCCCAAGCAGGTAGTGGGGCTATAGCAGTGAAGCTCAAGTCCCTGTCTTCAGACTATTGACCATTACTGCTCACTGGTTTATGAAATCAAGGTGGAGTAATCACAGTTCCCTGTTCTCCCCTGGTTTTATGTTGAAAGCACCAGATCACAACCCTTGTCAACATTTGGAAATGTTAACATTTCCAAAACATTTCTAAAGGTAGGGAGCTAGTGCTGGTTCATTTCATAAAAAAGTGACTGAGCCAGAGGGAGACAGAGTCTTAAACTGCAAAGAAAAGAAACAAACAAACAAACAAAAACCACAATTCATGATGATGTATTCATTGACTATTTTGGACCAAAAATTAATTTCATCCCTGAATCCAATTAAGACTGCTGTATCCAGGCCAGGCAAAGTGGCTCATGCCTGTAATCCCAGCACTTTGGGAGGCCGAGGCAGGCGGATCACAAGGTTAAGAGTTCAAGACCAGCCTGACCAACATGGTGAAATCCCATCTCTATAAATAATATATATATATATAAATTAATTAAAAAGACTGCTGTGTCCATTTTATACAGAAAAAATGCTGATGGCAGTGGTTTTATAGAATGTTTTAAAAAGCAAAACTGGAAGAACGACTAGTAGCTGCTAAAAATATATATATATAAATATATGTGTGTGTATATATATATATATATATATTGGACACAGAGTCCTGCTCTGTTGCCCAGGCTGGTGGTGCAATTATAGCTCACTTTAGGCTCAAACTCCCAGCTCAAGTGATCCTCCTGCCTCAGCCTCTCAAGTAGGTAGGGCCACAGGCATGTGACACCACACCCAGCTAATTTATTTATTTAGTTTTTTTAGAGGTGGAGTCTCACTGTGTTGCCCAGGCCAGTCTTCAACTCCTGGATTCAAGAGATCCACCCTCCTCAGCTTCTTAAACTTTTGGAATTACAGGCGCGCGTCTCTCCCAGTGGCTATTAAATTTAAATTCATAAAACCACTTCTCAAAGTGAACCATCTTGTGATGACAAAGACTGCATTGTACACATTCAGTTAACAAAGAACAATGTCAGTAGCGTACCACACACCATGATGTAAACTGTATTTAGGGCCTTCTAAATAGACTAGTACTTTGAGTGCCTGCAGTTTCAAGATGAGGGGGTTGAACAAGATCATTTATAAACTTCCAACCGAAAACATCTTTAAGATTCTGTGCCTTTTACCCACTAAAGCAAAACATTTGTGAAATTTGCGTTTGATGCAGCCGTTGTTATCTAATTCAACAAATATTTGTTGAGTACATGGAAAGTTGATTCTCTCTTCAGCAAAAATCTAACAGGCTCGGCTGGGTGCAGTGGCTCACGCCAGTAATCTTAGCACTTTGGGAGGCCAAAGCAGGTGAATCACCTGAGGGCAGCAGTTCAAGACCAGCCTGGCCAACATGGTGAAACCCTGTCTCTACTAAAATAGAAAAATTAGCCAGGCATGATGGCAGGGGCCTGTAATTCTAGCTACTCAGGAAGCTGAGACAGGAGAATCACATGAACCCGGGAGACAGTGGTTGCAGTGAGCCGAGATCGTGCCACTGCACTCCAGCCTGGGCAGCTGAGAGAGACTCTATCTCCCCAAAAAAGAAAAATCGCTGGGCATGGTGGCTCACGCCTGTAATTGGCTTACACACTTTGGAAGGACAAGGCAGGTAGATCTCCTGATGTCAGGAATTCGACACCAGCCTGACCAATATGGAGAAACCCCATCTCTACTAAAAATACAAAATTAGCCAGGCTTTGTGGCACATACCTGTAATCCCAGCTACTTGTGAGACGGAGGCAGCAGAATCGCTTGAACCTGGGAGGCAGAGGTTGTGGTGAGCCAAGACTGCACCATTGCACTTCAGCCTGAGCAACAACAGCGAAACTCCGTCTCAAAAAAAAAAAAAAAAATCAAGGTGACTCAAATACATGCACACCCATGTTCACAGCAGCAGTATTCACAGTAGGAAAAGGTGGAAACAACCCAAATGTCCATCGACTAATGAATGAATAAACAAATTGTGGTCTTTCCATGCAGTGGAATATTACTCAGCTGTTAAAAAACAAGAAGAGGACAGATGCATGATACATGCCTGGATGACCCTTGAAAACATTATTATGCTGAGTGAAAAAAGCCTGACACAACAGATCGCATGCTGTATGATTCCTGGCCAGGCGTGGTAGCTCACGCCTGTAATCCCAACACATTGGGAGGCCAAGGTGGGTGGATCACTTGAGGTCAGGAATTCAAGACCAGCCTAGCCAAAATGGCAAAACCCTGTCTCCACTAAAAAAAAAAAAAAAAAAAAAAAAAATTAGCCAGGCATGGTGGTGGGCACCTGTAATTCCAGCTACTAGGGAGGCTGTGAGACATGCTTGAACCCAGGAAGCAGAGGTTGCAGGGAGCTGAGATCACACCACACTCCAGCCTGGACAATAGATCGAGACTTGGTATCAAAAAAAAAAAAAAAAAGAATCACATAATATTGTTGTTGTTGTTGTTGTTGTTGTCTGAGATGGAGTCTCTCTCGCCCAGGCTGGAGTGCAGTGGTGCAATCTTGGCTCACTGCAACCTCCGCCTTCTGGGTTCAAGCAATTCTGCTTCAGCCTCCCAAATAGCTGGGACTGCAGGCATGTGCCACCATGCCCAGCTAATTTTTGTATTTTTAGTAGATAAGGGGTGTCACCATGTTAGCCAGGGTGATCTCGAACTCCTGACATCAAGTGATCCACCCACCTTGGCTGCCCAAAGTATTGGGATTATAGGTGTGAGCCACCGCACCTAGCCACATATTGTGTGTGGTTCTTTACATGAAATGTCCATAGAGTGCAGGGCAGATTAATGGTTGTCAGGGGGTGCAGAAGGGAAGAGTTAGGAGAAACTGCTTAAGAGGTACAGAGTCAGCTGGGTGGGGTGGCTCACGCCTATAATCTCAGCACTTTGGGAGGCTGAGGTGGGCGGATCACAAGGTTAGGGGTTCAAGACCAGCCTGACCAACATCGTGAAACCCCGTCTCTACTAAAAATACAAAAAATTAGCCGGATGTGGTGGCACACACCTATAATCCCAGCTACTCAGGAGGCTGAGGCAGGAGAATCACTTGAACCCAGGAGGCAGAGGCTGCAGTGAGTTGAGATCACTCCACTGCACTCCAGCCTGGGCTATAGAGCGAGACTCTGTCTCAAACAAACAAAAAAGGAGAGATACAGTGTCCTCCAAAAAAAAAAAAAGGTACAGGGTCTCCTTTTGGGGCTGGGCGCATTGGCACACACCTGTAATCTCAGCACTTTGGGAGGCCGAAGTGGGCAGATCACCTGAGGTCAGGAGTTCAAGACTAGCCTGACCAACATGATGAAACCCCGTCTCTACTGAAAATAAAAATAAAAAAATACAAAAATTAGCAGGGCATGGTGGTGGTTGCCTATAATCTCAGCTACTTGGGAGGCTGAGGTGGGAGAATCACTTGAACCTGGGAGGGGAAGCTTGCAATGAACCGAGATGGTGCCATTGCACTCCAATCTGGGTGCAACAGAGGAAGACTCTGTCTCAAAACAAACAAAAAAAAGGTCTCCTTTTGGGATGATGGAAATAATTTGGAACTACAGGAAAGGTGGTAGTCACACAACATTGTGAATGTACTAAATGCCACGCAATTGTTCATTTTATTTGTTTTTATTTTTAGTTTTGTAGAGACAGGGTCTTCTTCCATTGCCCAGGCTGATCTCAAACTTCTGGGCTCGAAGGGTCCTCTGTCTCAGCTTCCCAAAGTGCTGGGATTATAGGCATGAGCCACCATGCCCAGCCTGAATTGTTCTTTATTATTATTATAATTTTTTAATCTGAGACAGAGTCTCTCTATGTCTCTTAGGCTGGAGTGCAGTGCGCCATCTTGGCTCACTGCAACCTCTGCCTCCCGAGTTCAAGTAATTCTCCTGTTTCAGCCTCCCCCTGGTAGCTGAAACTACAGGTAGACACCACTACTAATTTTTGTATTTTTAGTAGAGATGGGGGTTTCACCATGTCAGTCAGGCTGGTCTCAAACTCCTGACCTCAGGTGATCCACCCACCTCGGTTTCCCAAAGTGCTGGTATTACAGGCATGAGCCACCTTGCACAGCCAAATTGTTCATTTTTAGATCGTTAACTTTATGTTATGTGAATCTCATATCAATAAAAAATAAATCAAAGGAATAAATTATTAAAAATAAAAGAAGTCAAGTAGAGAATGCACGACAACCAGGTAGATGAGAGATTTTAGAGAAGAGATTTTTAAATTCAGAGGCAGTTTCAACCAGGTGAAGTGGCTCACATCTGTAATCCTTACACTTTGGGAGGGTGAGGCAAGAGGATTGCTTGAGTCCAGGAGTTTGAAACCAACCTCGTCAACATAGCAAGACTTCATTGCTACAAAAAAACTTCTTCGGCCGGGCGCGGTGGCTCACGCCTGTAATCCTAGCACTTTGGGAGGCCGAGGCGGGTGGATCACGAGGTCAAGAGATCAAGACCATCCTGGTCAACATGGTGAAACCCCGTCTCTACTAAAACTACAAAAAATTAGCTGGGCATGGTGGCGCATGCCTGTAATCCCAGCTACTCAGGAGGCTGAGGCAGGAGAATTGCCTGAACCTAGGAGGCGGAGGTTGCAGTGAGCCGAGATCGCGCCATTGCACTCCAGCCTGGGTAACAAGAGTGAAACTCTGTCTCAAAAAAAAAAAAAAAAAAAAAAACTTCTTGTTTTTTTTTGTTTGTTTGTTTGTTTGTTTGTTTTCTATAAACAAGTTTAATGCAAACATTCAGTAAGGCATCTTTCCCATTTCTCCCAAGATTTCATCTCTTTCTGCTGCCGTAGGCATAAATGGCTTCACTCCGTTGTGTCTTCTCTGGATCATGATAGAATGCCAGAATTTCCGGCAGCTTTTGTACTTCAGGAAGTAAGTAGAACACTTTTCCTTGTCATAGTTATTTGCATCCAGACATCTGATGGAAGCATCAGATTCCAACATGCAAGGATTTATGTCAGGATCTCTCAGCCTCGGCATTTCCAAGGGTATCCTAATAGTCTTCTCACTCGGGCCTCCGCTTCGCCAGCACCCAGGCCGTCTCCAGCTCCAAACACCAAAAAAAAAAACTTCTTACAAAATTAGATGAGTGTGGTGACTCACACCTGTATTCCCAGCTGCTCAGGAGGCTGAGGCACGAGAATCACTTTAGCCTAGGAGTTTGAGTCTACAGTGAACTATGATTGTGGTACTGCACTCCAGTTTGGGTAACAGAGCAAGACCCTGTCTCTAAAAATAAATAAATAGGGAGTCAGTTAGGACTAAAGTTCTTCCCAACTCGAATATTTTATTATTGTGCAGGTTCAGCTCCTAGTGTTCTGACAACTGGATGAATCACAGCCTTCTTAGATCTATCATCTAACTCTATAAAAGAGACCAAAATTAAATTTTGGCTAGAAATCTAAGAAAAAAACGTGTACAAGAAATATTCAGCCTCTGCCAGACTTTTTTTTTTTTTCTTTTTTTTTTTTCTTTTTTTGAGACAGAGTCTTATTCTGTCAGCCAGGCTGGAGTGCAGTGGCGTAATCTAGGCTCACTGCAGCCTCCACCTCCCGGGGTTTGAGCAATTCTCCTGCCTCAGCCTCCCAAGTAGTGGGATTATGGGTGTGTGCCACCACACCCAGCTAGTTTTTGTATTTTTAGTGGAGATGGAGTTTCACCATGTTGGCCATGCTGGTCTCGAACTCCTGACCTCAAGTGATCAACTCACCCCAGCCTCCAAAAGTGCTGGGATTACAGGTGTGAGGCACTGCGCCCGGCCCTAATTTTTTTTTTTTTTTTCCAGGTGGAGTCTCGCTCTGTCGCCAGGCTGGACTGCAGTGGCGCAAACTCGGCTCACTGCAACCTCCGCCTCCGAGGTTCAAGCAATTCTCCTGCCTCAGCCTCCCAAGTAGCTGGGACTACAGGCGCGCACCACCATGCCCAGCTAATTTTTGTATTTTTTAGTAGAGACGGGGTTTCACCATGTTGGCCAGGATGGTCTCGATATCTTGATCTCGTGATCTGCCCACCTAGGCCTCCCAAAGTGCTGGGATTACAGGTGTGAGCCACAGCGCCCAGCCCAGTCCTAAATTTTTATTTATTTATTTTGAGACAGGGTGTCACTCTGTTGCCCAGGCTAGAGTGCAGTGTAGCCTGGACCTCCCAGGCTTAGGTGATACTCTCACCCCAGCCTCCTGAGTAGCTGGGACCCAGGTGCATACCACCACACTCAGCTAGCTTTTGTATTTTTTTGTGGAGACAGGGTCTTGCTATGTTCCCCAGGCTGGTCTTAAACTCCTAGGCTCAAGCGATCTGCTTGCCTGGGCCTCCCAAAGTGCTGAGATTACAAGTGTGAACCATCCACCTGGCTACCTTTTTTTTCTTTTTTTTCTTCAGGCCTGACCTTGATTTCAGACAGCCCAAGGGATTTGCCATGACTGGAAGGCAGAAGAAAGGGAAGGTAGGGTTGCTTCCTAAGAAGAGCAAAGAAAAAAAAAATAAGGAATTGATATTCAGGTTTTGACATTCAAAATGGGATTTTAAAAACAGTTTGAGATGTAATTTACATACCCTACAATTCACCCATTGAAAGTGTGTAAATCAACTGGGCGTGGTGGCTCACACCTGTAATCCCAGCACTTTGGGAGGCCGAGGCGGGTGGATCACAAGGTCAGGAGTTCAAGACCAGCCTAGCCAAGATGGTGAAATTTGGTCTCCACTAAAAATACAAAAAAATTAGCTGGGCCTGGTGGTGGGCGCTTGTAATCCCACTACTTGGGAGGCTGGAGCAGAGAACTGCTTGAACTGGGGAGGCAGAGGTTTCAGTGAGCCCAGACTACAACACAGCACTCCAGCCTGGGTGACAGCGAGACTCTGTCTCAAAAAAAAGAAAGAGAAAGTGTAGGCCGGGCGCGGTGGCTCATGCCTGTAATCCCAGCACTTTGGGAGGCCAAGGCGGGCAGATCACTTGAGGCCAGGAGTTAAAGACCAGCCTGGCCAACATGGTGAAACCCCATTTTTATTAAAAAAAAAAAAAAAAGAAAAAGAAAATGTAATTCAATGGTTTTTAATGTATTACATTAAGAATTTTTTAGACTGTGGTAAATTATATATAACATAAACCTTTCTGTTTTAACCTTTCCCCCAACTCCCCCAGGTAGAGACGAGGTCTTGCTTTGTTGCCCAGGCTGTTCTGGAACTCCTGCCTCAAGGAATCCTCCTCCTTTGGTCTTCCAAAGTGCTGGGATTATGGGTGTGAGCCACTGCATGTGGCCCATTTTAACCATTAAGTGTACAATTCAGTGGCATGGATTGCACTTACACTATTGGTGCCACCCCAAACAGGATTTTGCAGAGAAAAAAAATGGCTTGAAATCCCAACATGGTTAAGCAACAAAGAATTTTTTTTAATTGCTTTATCTTTCATTTGTCATATCAAGGACCCTGAAGGCCAGAGTTTCTACTACCATATACAGAAGAAACTCCTCTCTGACAATAAGACTTAGCCACTCCAGCCTGGGTGACAGAGCGAGACCCTGTTTACACACACACACACACACACACACACACACACACACACACACACATACACTCTCTCTCTCTCTCTCTCTCATTCTCTCTCTCTCTCCCTCTCTCTTACACTTAGGAGGCTGAAAATGGTAAGAAGGAAGATATGACATAGAAGAAGTGAAAGAGAGCAGTGTCCTTCCAGGCGCAGGAGTAAATGGGCAGAAAGGAAGAGGGACAGGTGAGGAGGGCAGCTCCACCGACTGAGATCTCGGACAGGGAAGGGAGCCTTTGTCCCCATTCCATATTTGAGAAAACTCCTGGGCAGGGTGGTGGCCCCATGCCAACATTTTTAAGATGCGCGGCAAGGCCAGAAATAAGGAAGATCCAGTTTGTGCTCCGGGACCTTCCTTAGACACTCAGCAGCGTGAATGGCTGTTGAAAGCTTTGGGTGCCTAATCTGGGACCCACTCTGGCAGCATCGCAGCAGAGATTCAGAGGAGTCAGCTGTGCCGGCGATTGGAGGGGAGGTTGACTCAGCAGGGAGGAGGACTGAGTCCTGACTGAGCCAAGAAAGAGCATATGTTAGGAGCGGACTCCAACCACTCAGACACGGAACTGGGACACGGCGTTACAGGACCCAGCTGTGGCTAACATTGCTAATTGCCTCCCCGAGATTCACTCCCTTTTGTACTAAACAAACCCCTATTTTATGTGGCATGGCAATGTGCCCAACAATTTATGCCCACTTCCTCAGGCTTCTCCTAGGAAAGGCAGCTAGAGGCGCTTCTGGGAAAAATTTTCCTTTCCTGATAAATGGGCACAGACATAGGTGTGCTGTCTGGGGCTGGAGCAGCCACGTTGTTACCCTGAGGTAATGTGGATGACGACAAAAGCCATCAGGCCAACGTGGCAGAGCAGAAAGACTAAAAGAACAGAACAACTCCCTTGGGAAGAGCCCTATTTATCTGGAGCAAATACTTTAATAAGAACCAAATTAGGCCAGGCGTGGTGGCTCATGCCTGTAATCCTAAGCATTTTGGGAGTCTGAGGCGGGCAATCCATCTCAAAAAAAAAAAAAAAAGAAAGAAAAAGAAAAGAAAAGAAATTAATAGCTAGCAGACTGATAGGCAAGGGACTTTCTGAAGAAAATAGAAATGGTTGCTTGAAGGTTTTTTTTTTTTTAGGTGAAGTCTCACTCCGTCGCCTATGCTAGAGTTCAGTGGTGCAATATCTGCTCACTGCAACCTCCACCTACTGGATTCAAGCAGTTCTCAGCCTCAGCCTCCCGAGTAGCGAGGACGACAGATGCACGCCACCATGTCTGGCTAATTTTTTCTTTTTTCTTTTTTTGGTCAGGGGCTTAGAAGTCTGGCTAATTTTTATATTTTTAGTAGAGACAGGTTTTACCATGTCAGCCAGGCTGGTCTCGAACTCTTGACCTCAGGTGATCCACCCACCTGGGCTTCCCAAAGTGCTGGGATGACAGGTGTGAGCCACTGTGCCTGGCCCCACTTGAAGATTTTTATTGTTTTACGGTGTGTTGTGGGTAACGGCATTTTACTCCGGTTTTTTTCATAAAATGTATATCACTTGTTAATGCTTTGTGAATTTGGCTTTGCTTTTGGGAGATGTCACATAGTCTTGAGTCCTGCTCCACGGTAGACATGCCTTCAAGGAAGAAAAAAGGCTATTTACAGTTTTTCCTCAGTGGTGAGTCCTTCAATGACACTTGGATCCTCTATAAAGTATATAATCCATATTTGAATACAAATGCAACTAGTATTTTCCCATAGAAATCATCTCATCATTCTGGCAATGTCATTTAGTGACCTTAGTGGTATGGCTATCCTTGATGACTTTGGCGTAGTAGTTTCATCTGAGCAGTGAAGACAAGAATTTGACCCACCTGAGCTCAGCAGCTCAGCAGCATTTTCTTTTTTTTTTTTTTTGAGACGGAGTCTTGCTCTGTCGCCCAGGCTGGAATGCGGTAGCAGGAACCCTGCTCACCGCAACCTCCATCTCCCCAGTTCAAGTGATTCTCCTGCCTCATTCTCCTGAGTAGCTGGGATTACAGGCATGAGCTGCTGCGCCCAAACTTCTAAATCTTTATATCCAGTCCAGAACTTTTTTCTTTCTTTCTTTCTTTCTTTTTTTTTTTTAAAGAAATAGGGGTTGGAGGCGTGGTGGCTCACACCTGTAATCCCAGCACTTTGGGAGGCCCAGGCAGGTGGATCACAAGGTCAGGAGTTTGAGAGCAGCCTGACCAACTTGGTAAAACCCGTCTCTACTAAAAATTAGCTGGTATAAACCACAGTGCTTCCATTATTCATGTTTAAAAATAATAATAATAAAAAAAGAAAAAAATAAATTAGCCGGGCATGGTGGCATGTGTCTGTAATTTCAGCTATTCAGGAAGCCGAAGCAGGAGAATTGCTTGAACCTGGAGGCAGAGGTTGCAATGAGCTGAGATCGCGTCACTGCGCTCCAGCCTGGGTGACAGAGTGAGACTGTGTCTCAAAAAAAAAAAAAAAAAAAGTAGAAAATTTGAACAAACATGTGTCC